GTTCCATGGTTTTCTTTGGTTTGGTTTGGTGGGAACATTTCGAATCATTCTTTCATTGCTTGGTTGGTGTTGCGTGATCGGCTTGCTACGAGGGATCACTTACGTCGTTGGGACTCTTCCATTCCGGATTCCTATGTGTTCTGTGCTAGCCTGGAGTCTTGGGACCATTTGTTATTTGAGTTCCCCTTTAATTCGGAGGTATGGTCTGACATGATTGTTTGGGTTGGTTCTTCTTATCGGATTTCATATTGGTCTATTGAGTTTGCTTGGGTTAGTCACATTAGTGACAGGAAGTTTGCGCGTCGTCGTGTGTAGTGCTTGGTGTGGACTTCGATTGTTTCTTTTATCTGGAAGGAGCATAATGCTAGAGTTCATGCGGGTAGGGTGGGCCGGTCACCACTGTCCTCTTGCGCGCCTTGAAAGCTAAGGTCTATTATTGTTGTACGACCTGACTTGGGAACTGTTGTTTGAGTTTTGATCCTATGTTTATTTTGGTCGGGATTTGTTTAAAAACCTGCAATTATTAATGTCAGGTTCATATTCATGATATTTTGTCAAACTTTTTTTTTTTGTGATACTATATAAATGTCGATGCACCTTTGTCGAATCTATAGACATTTCAAAATATCTATGGAAATATCTACGTGTCAACAAAAATTTAATACAATGTTTAAATACCCTTAATACAATGTTTGTTTTTACCGAAATTGTTCCATCAAAAATAATAAATCTCCAAGAACACTCGAAAATGGAATCCTACGAAAAAGGAGTTAGCACTCCGAAGATTTTGTCAGTAAAGGATGGGAGTTAATTCAAATATATCTCAATTCTCAAAGATGGCGTACCTTTCTCTTTTAGTTTAAGGGCATTTATATAGTAATGTGATAATCGTTGGTGTAAGGAATTTCAAATTTATGGTTATCTCTGAGATTCGGAGCGAATTGTACGCATTAAGAGGGGAATGTAGTTATGCGATTATCCACTCGAATGTTGGAGTCGAGTTCGGATTCAAAGAAACGAGTTCGACAATTCCATTGTGTGAGTCTTCCGAACTGGTTCTCAAGTTCATGCCTTGTGAGGCTTGTTCACATGGCTTTCGGTCGAACTGCTGGTGACGTGTACTCTGGGTGAATTTTCAGCTTAATCATTAGACTACCCAGCTTTGGAAATATTCGAGTTGATTAGAATTTCCGCAGTTGTCTTCTGAAGTAGTTCAGAACTTTCATCCACGTCATCATTAAATTACAGTTACCTTCTTCCCCCTTTTACGAATTGGGGTCAATTAGCAGTTAGGTATTTAAACTCAAATATGGCTTTTTTGGATTCAATTTTGCTTTCCCCTCCTTCGCGCAACCTTCTCCCAGTATCATTTCAGTCAATTAGGACAAAATTTTTCTCTTTCGCGATCGTCTATCTTGAGCTTCGCGAAGGAAATTTATTCAATTTTATCTTACTTGTCGACTTCTAGGTAACTTTCTGATCCATACCTCATCGATTTTCGCTTAGATTCGTAATTTCAGTCGTTAAATATAGCGTTCGCATAGGCCCTCTTCTTCTCAAGGCATTTCTAGGGCTTATCACCATAGACATTCCCATTCTTCTAGGGTAATATTGACTTCGATCCTTCAAACTGTCCCGAGGCGAGGGACTTCTAAGTATTCTTAGATATAACTACTTGATTCCTCATGATATTAGGTTGTGTTACCTTCTACCCCAAATGTTTGAATATGGTTATTTCTAAATCSGGTCGACTTAGCCCCTACCCAATTGGCACCAAATGGGTGCAGGGCACTCTTATAAGCTTCCGTACTTTGTGGTGGCGATTTTGTGAAGATAAGACTTGTATTATGTCAGTAAGAAACAGTTTTATTTACCCACAATTCTTTGACTCTCAACAACTTTTAAGAGAGTAGTTTCAAGCCTTTTTATTTTGTTATAGTTGGAATATGCCAAAGGAAAAGGACGGAAATATATAAGTATCGACCTTTTAAGGTGAAATCAAAAKTAAAATTACGAGAGAACAAATATCATACCTGTTATAAAAACCGTAAAGAGAATTGTTATTGTTCCTACGCAAAATACRAACAATTATTGATTCAAATATCTTATTTAATATTTTCATGCTTTAAATTAACCCGACTTTATGAATAACAGAAATATTTTAACCAATCAGAGTTGTATTCTCTGTGTCTAATTCCAAAGCTAAAATTTCTGCATAAGATTTAATCGAGGCTTTGTATGTTTTTCAACGGATTTTTTAAAAATCTTATTTAACTTCTAAACTCAAAGTATATATATATATATGTATATATGTATATGTATATTAATGCGACTGGCATCTGCTTCTCGTTTTTTCTCAATTGGCATCAGATTCAGATGCATATTTTAAAATTTGGTGTTTTTTTATATTATATACTTTTTTTATTATTATTTTATATATAAAGGCATTCATACCCATAATTATTCCGAGTTTACTTTCTTAATTAACTACCCCACTGCTCTATACCACAACACATAAGATTTAATTTTATTGGGATATTATAAGCTATAACATTTTTTTTTCCAAAGCGAGCATAGCTCAACGGTAATTGACATATACCTCTGTTATGCAATGGAAACCGAAAGTCGAGGTACAGGTGAAGATCGGAAGGAAGCCACTGGGCTGCGATGGGCTCGGTCCCGACCCGGGGCTCGGTCCCGACCCGTGGCACGGCCCACGGCCCTCCAGCGGCCCTTCGTCTTCGATCCACGGTTTCGCCCAGGCCCGCCAACGAAATTAGGGTTAGCTACCTATGGAATGGTTCTGGAACAACCTGGCGACTATAAGTAGCGACCCAGCCTTATAGGTAAGGGCATCTAAAACTAGCGACATTTCACATTATCCTCCTGCTAACTTAAGCATCGGAGCCCGTGTGACTAGAGTCGCACCGGTTTAGCTCATCTGGTTTTGCAGGTACTAGTCCCGGATCAACAAGTTTGGTAGGTGCGAGGAGGAGAAYMGGAGGAYCGAAATCCACGCATCAACAATTGGCGCCGTCTGTGGGGACGACTTAAAGCATCCAGTTGAGCAACATGACACCAGAGAGGAGTCCACGACGCTCTGATGATGACTGCTCTGCCAAGAGGAGGCTGAACTTGGGCGACCCCCAGGTTGGAGGACCCGAGGATGGGACCAGCCAGCCAAACCAAGAGCGTCAGGAGGGGTTGCYCGAGGWGYAGGCATTAACGACCCCTGAGCCATTCCAAAAGCAGTTCGCGGTCTTGGAAGACAAGGTAGAGGGCATGCTTCAACGCATGACCCAAGTCCTTCGACAATTCGAGTGACAGGAGTCCGACGAAGTGCCCCTTGTCAGAGACCCGAAAAAGGGGAAGGGCCCAACGGAAAGCGATACCGAGGAGTCAACGAACAGTGTAGGGAGCAAGTTGCGGATAGGTGGAAATACCAGGCAACGAACCCGAATTTTCGACCCTCGAAAGACGAAAAAGCAACATAAATCCCCGGCACCAAATGGGGGCAAGAGCGACCATGATGACAGAAACTCTGAACCGATAAGTCTCGACAAAGGCAAACCGGCAGATCGGCCAGAGTCCTCGGAGAAGCGACATAGCCACAAGGAGAAGGGATTCGACCTCGAAGAACTACTGGATCAAGCCGACTCACCATTCACGGAGGAAATCATGAGAGAAAAGGTCCCTCCAAAATTCAAGCTACCCACGGTGAAGCAATTCGACSGGACGACCGACCCAGTGGACCATCTAGATGCTTATCGGGAATGGATGGATATCTACGGAGTGTCGGAAGCGGTCAGGTGCCGGGTATTCTCGACTACTTTAAACGGGTCGGCCAGAATATGGTTTCGACAATTAAAACGAGGGTCGATCTCGAGTTTCAAGAGCTTGGCCAGAGCATTCGTGACCCAGTTTGTAGGGGGGCGGTGTCGGAGCCGACCCGTGGCTTATCTCTTAACCATTAAGCAGAGGACGACAGAGAGTCTACGCGACTATGTAGCCCGGTTCAACGAGGAGAAGCTGCAGGTAGAAGGCCTTACAGACGCTGTATCTCTGCTGGCCTTCATGTCCGGCGTCAGGGATGAACATTTGTCATTCTCGTTCGGAAAGAGAACACCGAACACCTTCTCGGAGGCGCTGAGCCGAGCTCAGAGGTACATGAGCGCTGGTGAGTTCTTTTACTCAAAAAGGGAACCTGACGGAAAGCGAACCGACCCAAAGAGGGAGAGGTCGGGAGATAAACCGCAAGGGTCGAGATGGGAGAAGAGGGATCGGAGTAGCCAGAAAGATCCACCCCGAAAATTTGAAAAGTATACCCCGACCACCGTTCCAATCGAGCAAGTGCTGATGGAGATCAAAGACCAAAGGTTGCTTAAATGGCCGGAGAGGATGAAGGCCTCGTCAGCTAAGCGCAGCAAAGGCAGGTATTGTCTTTTCCACAGGGATCACGGCCATGCAACTCAGGATTGTTTTGATCTCAAGGAAGAGGTGGAAGGACTAATCCGAAGGGGCTACCTCAAGGAGTATGTAGAGGAACCTAAAGCGACCCAGAACGGCGAAAGCGACAAGTCTCCCGCAAGAGAGATTCGAACTATAATGGGGGGCCCCATAGAAAGAGAATCTGGGAGAAAAAGGAAAGCAGATGTGCGTGAAGCTAGGACGAGTCGCGAGCAAAATGAGGTCTACCACGCGTATACTACAAACCGGCCGGTGACAATTGAATTTTCGGAAGACGAAGCAACTCACCTCCTTCACCCTCATAACGATGCACTTGTTATCASGTTGAAGATAGCAAATGTTAAAGTACATCGAGTCTTGGTGGATGGRGGCAGCTCGGCGGATATCMTCTCMTGGACAGCCTAYAAAGCTATGGATCTAGRAGAAAAGGTGCTCAAGMGTAGTCCRGCACCACTGGTAGGATTTGGGGSAGAACGGGTCATCCCCGAAGGGAGGATAGAGTTGCCAGTAACATTCGGAAGTGGGCCGAAGAGTGTCACCAAGATGGTGGACTTTTTGGTCGTTAACTACACATCCTCCTACAAC